TGTATGTACAAAGTGTTCTAAATAATATGTACTCCTTTGTTACCATGTTTCATCTGTCTGCAGTTAGAAAGATGTTAGAATGATCTGTAGCTAGACAGTAGCCCAGTAACATATTCATGTTCAGGCCAAGCACACTAGGAGGGGAAATTTGTTAAGTTTAACTTGATGACGGGCTTGGTAAAGTTTTCACTGTTATGCAGTACCACATGGTGCCTCTTATAGTTAGATCTTTGATATGGACTGGCTTTTAAACATATACTTAAGTGTATATTAAATAACATGCATTAACCTATGTATACAATATTGTCAATATTACTTCCAAAAATAACAATGATGTGCACTGACAAATCAGTTAAGGTGGCTAATCTTTTAAATGTTTCAATATCAGATTGTTATAGTTCACAAAACAGTAATAGACGGCCCAGAGTTTATGTTAAAAGCCCATGGCCTATTTAAATCCATTGTGAAAATTCTGGCCTTATTATCTTCCAAACATCAAAAAAAAGGTAATTGACAACTACACAACAGATGTTTTAAGCATTTTGTTTCTGCCTGGGAGAGCTGTGGTAGGTAATGTTGGCCTTGGGGATAGATATGCTGGCAGCATCACGGATTGTGGTGATATTCTTGGAATAAAAAAATGATGAGCTCAGGAAAGATGGCAGTTGTGTTCATGAGGTAACAAATACTTTGAGGACAAGACTGCAAATGTCTTTTATGTTACTCTTCATTTCATCATACTTCTTGAATCCTCAGTATCGAGTGACACACATGACATGCATCTAAATGGGAAAATTTAAATTAGGACATTCTGACAGCAGTGGTGCCCAAAAGACAAAATTAACATACTTACATCTTTTAAAAATAATTATACTTTTAGGAAATTTCTATGTTAAATTATTACCAGAAACACAATGCTCCTGGAAAAGGAGCAACACAGCCTATTGATTATTGGCAACAAATGTTGCTGTTATGAAAGTGCTGTCTATAATCTTTAATGAGGTGAATATTTTACATTCTAATTGAGGTGTTTTGAATGACAAATCCCTGTAACTGCAACTATTTCTGACACCACCATATAAAAGAATTAAGATGCAAGATATACAGTGGCCTGCCACATGCTATGACAAGTAGCTTTTTTGGAACGACTGACTGGCTAACTTGTGTGACACAGTCACGGCATGGTTATAATTAGCCTCATGAGTGGAGATACTTATCGTGTCATGTGCTTGGCTGCAATACATTCTGCTTATAATTACTGTGCAGCTTCACTGGAAAAAGGTAATCAGTTTATATATAGTATAACTAGTTTATATATGTGTATTCTAGAAAATTGAGAAAAGCTGATGAGTGAGGGCACTGTGCCATGGTGTTAATGCACTTCTTGAGTTTATAACCATTCCTGATTCCCCTGAGCTTTTTCAGAAATTATTACCTCAATCATAGAAAGGCCTACCTTTGTAACCAGATTGTAGTTAAAAAATAAAATTATGCCATTTCATTTATTTTTGTGACAACTGGGCTTGTTTAGGAATTAAAATGATTAGCATCAACATTTATTAATGTCTTTTTTAATTTCATCTTCTACAAAAAGCTTGAAAAAATGTAAAAATCTTTAAATTTCTGATAAAGAAATTCCCAAACTACATTTTTTATGAACTTCCTTCAGAATGGAACCCTTGCACTCCACCCCCCCCACCCCCCACCCCGGTTGAAGGAATAGTGAAATTGACTTCTAGGGTGTATAAAGGACAGCTGATCTGCAAACACTTACTTTGCATCCCAACTACAGTTGAAACTGCTGCACAATACTGTTGTATTGAGCGAAGGACCTAATTTCCTTGGCTAACATAACATGTATAGTAAGAAAGGTCCCAATGCCAAACTACAATGTATCAATAGAAGATCAGTCAAACCTCAGCTTCTGAGAAGGCAGTCATGACATAATAAAATGAAAATTAATAGTGAAAGTAACCCTCTTCTGCAATGAAAATGATTATGGCTTAGCCTAGAAATTAGACACTACATTTTACTGTGCCTGAGGCATTTTCTAATGCTAACCTTGCAGTAATAAGTGCAGTCATAAGTCACCAACCACAGCATAAGAGCTGGAATGAGGGTCCATAAGCAGCAACAAGCCATGTACACGTCATTGAAAATGTTGCTTCTTCTGGAACCTCTCTAGCAGATTTCATAACTTGCTCTTGAGGGAGTGCAGTGAAGGTTTACCAGACTGTTTCCGAGGATGGCAGGTCTGACGTATGAGGAGAGATTGACTAGGTTGGGATTACTTTTGCTGGAGGTCAGATGAATCCCTGATGGTGGGTATGTCCAGAACCAGGGTCACAGTATGAGGATTCGGGGTAGACGATTTAGGACGTAGATGAGGAAACATTTCTTCACCCAAAGAGCGGTAAGCCTGTGGAATTCATTACCACAGGAAGTAGTTGATGCCAAAACATTGAATGTATTCAAGAGGCAACAAGATACAGCGCTTGGGGTGAACAGGATCAAAGGTTATGGGGAGAAAGCAGGATTAGGCGATTGAGTTGGACGATCAGCCATGATTGTGAAGAATGGCAGAGCAGGCTCGCAGGACCAAATGGCCTCTTCCTGCTCCTATCTTCTATGTTTCCATGTTTATTCTGTGAGTTCCTTAATTTGTCAATGCTGCTCCATCTGTGGCTGATGTCACCTGGCCCATCAGGAAAGGTCTGGCTACTAGGATCCAGACTGCATGGTCCTACACTATAGATTACATCCAGCTTGTCTCTCGTGATTGCTATGACTGGATAATGAGCCTTAATACGTCTGCGTGGCTCGTATTGATACAGGATTGCCAACTCTCCAGCACTGGCCTGGCATATCCAAGAATTAGCAACTAATTTCCAGGCTATAGCTGAGTGCAATGAGAAACAAATCATGGGGGTGATTAAAAAATAAACTCTTTGTTCATTCATATAAAAAGATTCAAAATGGAAGGAGACAATCAAGAATCTTCCAATCTGGTAAAAATGATACTGTTTACTTCTTGAGGGGCCTGGGAAGATAGTAAACTACGAGAAGGAATACGTTGAATGGCCAATCATGGAAGCATGAGGGACAGACTATCGGAGACAGCATGTCATCTGATGAAACCTCCAGGAATACACTGAACCACAGTTGGCAACCCTTCACTGACAAGCTTCCTCCAGCAAAAGAAAATGCCACAAGATTTGCCACTTGCTGGAATATGAATAGCAACCATTTATCAAATGCATTTCAATTTCATCCTCTCCCTGCAAAAACTCTTGTAACAACCCAATATTTGGGAACTTCTCGTCTGATTACCTCACTGTTACATGTTTCAGTATGTCCTTGTATATTATGATCTGCCTGTACTGCTTGCAAAACAAAACTTTTCACTGTACTTAGGTACATGTGACATCAATAAGTCAAATCAAATAAAATAAATCAAATCAAATATTGCCAATTAACTGATACAGACACATATCTGGGAGCAGGTGGGACTTGAACCCAAGACTGCTGGAGCAGACTGCAGGAAAAATATTAAACTCAGTGCCAAATAATTTTACCTCATACTGAAGCAGCAAAACAGGCAATAGTGACACATTCAGTTGGTTGGTTCATGCTGTGCGGCAAATGTAAAAGAAACAAGGTTTTTTTTAATAATTTAGACATTCACAAATAAAAAAGTAGGCATCTGCAAAAGTTCAAAATATGACGTAGAATCTGCTGAAAGAACAGATAAATATTTTCAATCAAAGCAAAACACAGTGGTTGATAGAAGTCTGAAACACAGAAAATGCTGGAGAAACTCAGCGGGTCACAGAATCACAGAAGTGTCACAGCACAGATAAGGCCGTTTGGCCCATTGTTCATGGACCAGCTCTTCAAATGACCATCATTACCTTGTGCCAATCTCCTGCCACCCTTGCACACTATTTCTATCGAAATAATTATCCAATACTTGCTTGAATGTCTCAGTTGAACCTGCCTCCACCACATTTCCAGGCTTCTTGTTCTTGTTCTTTTTAATGAGGGAAAACAGCTTGTCCCTACTTATTCTATACAGCCCGCTCACAATTTTGAAAACCTCTAACAAATGTCCTCTTAGATTTCTTTTCTCCAAGAGAACAGTCCCAACTTCTACTATTGCCAAAACTGAAGGTCTGACTGCAACTTTGGAGAGAGAAATTCAGTTAACATTTTGAGCATGGTATGACCCTTCATCAGAACTTCCTTGATATTACCAATTAACCAGCACAGACACTTATCTGGGAGCAATGGGACTAGTGGGGTTTTCACCCAACACTGCTGCCTCGGAGGTATGAATAAGAGAGCCTTCAATAAGACTCTGATATACTTTATTTTTGAGAACAGGGGGCAGATGGTATATCACCAGCTACGGATATTAATGTAGATCCTGAAAATCTGAAACAAGTACAAATTCTGAAGGAGATTCACATCTGAAACAAACACGAAATCCGAACCAAACAAAAATAGAAATTGCTGGAGAAACTCAGCGGGTCTGGCAGCATCTGCGGAGAGAGAACAGCGTTATCATTTCGAGGTAATGAAGAAGGCTCAATCGAAACATCACCGCGGTTCTCTCTCCGCAGGTGCTGCGAGACCTGCTGAGTTTCTCCAGCAATTTCTATTTTTGCTTGTTTCGGATTTCCAGCATCCGCAGTCCTGTGTTTTATTTAAGAATCACATCAGACTCGAAACACGCCAGACCTGCTGTGTTTTTCCAGCAATTTCTGCTTGTTTCAGATCTCCAGCATCCGGCAGACCTTTGCTTTATGTAAAAATCATATCAGACTCGAAACTTTAACACTGTTCCTCCTGCTGGGTTTCTGCAGCGTTCTCTGTTTCGCTTCGCAGCCACAGACAGTCCAGCTTTCAGCAGGTGTCGTGAGACCTCCCAGCCTGAGGGGCGGCGCTGCACTCGGAGGACGCTAGCGAGAGGCCAGCTGTTCGTCGGCGGCACACTTGTCGTTAAGTCGGACACTTCCTGGAGACGGGCTGGTGACTGTGTGTTATTGGGGGAGGGCAGAAAGGGAGAAGAAGAACAGCAAGTTTTTGGTACAGGAAGTGGGTGCTCAGCCTGTGACACCCTTAACCCCCGCGACGGCAGGAAGTTGGCGATAGGCGGCGGGGTTGTTAGTTTTAATTTTGGGGTTGGGAGTGGTGGTCAGCGGAGGGTCTGGTTTTGAGAGCTGGCGGCCGGCCAGACAGGGTGGAGGTGGAGTGAGAGTTGGCCCCCCCCAGGAGCTGCAGCAAGCCCTCCCTGCTGAAGTTGCTGCTGGAGGATTCGCCACGTCACGGTCCTGGTGCTTCCCCTCCACCTCCTTAATCTGCTCCACTTTCTCCCTCAACACCCGCTTGTTTGAATTTATTTTGCATCCCATTCCACACCTTGTTCCATTTGCTGCATCCTTCACGCTTTTACCTGCAGACAAACTTTGATTTGTTTCCTTTTCCTTTTGTTTTTCTTTATCACTGCACGCTGAATTTTCAGAACCCTGTTTTCTTTTGGGCGCTATTTGTTTTGTGTTTTATCGCTTAATAAGCTTTTGATTTTTAAACTAATGTTCCCATTTTCTTATCCAGCTTTATCTGCCTTATTTCATTGTACTTGACCTAGTAAATTTCCTTTGCTATATATAACTTGTACTGAATGATCACTTAATCGATTGCGTCCCAGGAGAGTTTTGTGTGGTAGGGTAGTATTATTTTCCTCGCACTCCAGTTTGTTTTTTCCTTACAAGCCCCTGTAGAATTTTTAAAACTTGCAATAACGTTCAAACTAGCAGGGTCAGTTTTCTGTTCGGAAATGACAAGATGGGGTTTAGAACATAATGTTCGATACTTGGTTTACTAAAGTATTCAGTAGGCGGCTGTTTCCTGTTTATGTGTATCTGTCGTTCACTGACTGTTAATTCTCAAACGTCGGAAAGAAACAAGCCAAGAAGTCTCACCTGTCTTATAACCGCACTTTGAGATTCTGCGATACCTTTTTCAAAACAAAAATCTGTTTAAACATGGCTACTTCAAACTGGGGCCTCATCATGAATGTGGTGAACAGTATCGTGGGAGTGAGTGTGCTCACCATGCCGTTCTGCTTCAAACAGGTAAGTGAAGATGTCCTAGGCTACAGGTGTTTCTAACGTAAGGCAGTGTTAAGTGTCGGAAGTCTTTTTACAAGTATAAAATGTGTACCTCCGTGTAGATGTTTTAATTTTAAACGAATGTGGTAACATACGTTTCAGTTTGACTCACTGGCATATTGTACCTTTCAAGTCCCACGCCTGGAAGTAAACACATTTTTTGAGATTGAAATATCACTGCAATACTGACCAAGTAAGGTATTCTTGCAGAATATTATCTTTAATGCTCCATGTTCCTACTGTAGATTTTAAAAAAATTAAGGTGTGCTGAAATTTCTTTTTCATCCATATTTGTCTTTTAATCTTGACCAGTTTAACTGCCAATTTAATTTACTTCGTAGAACGTTCTTTTACCCTGAATTAGGAGGTTGTGCATTAAAACTCCACTCCAGAATTTGATGGAAAAAAAAACTCTGCAAACATTTCAGTGTAACACTGGGGGAGCACAACATTGCAAGAAGTGCTATGTGATCTCAATAGGGGGCAAAATCTGGTTCATTCGAGTGATTCACTTGAATGCTAAAGGTTTCATGGTACTATCTATAAAGGAACAGAAAGTTCTGAGGTGGCCTGGATGATGCATTCTCACTGCCAGCACGAAGTTCACAGTTTTTTTAAAACTTTTTTTTTTAGATTTGCAAAAAAAAAAGGATCCTGTATTCACCTGTATGAAAGTGATTGTCTTTCATGGGAATTCATTGCAACTAAAATACTTTGGGCCACTTCTGATGAGATTGAAATGGTGTTAGGGAAGTGTTATAGATGTTCCTCTATACCTCGGCCACGAGATCAGCTTACAGCTTTACAAGTGCTCCTTGGAAAATGAAATAAAATTGAAACTGTAGAGACTCAAAACAGCTTATCAAGAAAGGAATCTGAAGGTTCATTAGTTATAAACGACTGATTCCCTAAATTAGATTGGAACCTTGAAGTTACTCGTTGGTATTATTGTCTATCATAAATGCAGCTTTGGTTTGATATTTTATCATCTTGTGCAGCTGGTGTGGTTAAAAACCATCAGTGCCCTGGGTGTCTTCGGTAATCTTTGTGTCCTTTTTGACTGAGCCAAACTTCTGATGACAAATTGTCTCCACTACAAAGCTGCCTACTTGCACCTCCATAACATTTGCTTGTCTCTGCTGCCTTAATTCATCCACTGCCAATTCCTTCATTTCTGCTTTTGTTACGTCCATACACTGATTTGAAATTCTGCTGGTCTCCTGTCCTCCATGCTGCACAAGACTCCATCTTATCTGAAACTCAGTTTCACGTATCTAAAGTTGCATCATGTCAAGGTACCGCATGGTAGACAAGGTAGCAAGGTGAGATCACATGGAATCCAGGGGGAAGCTAGCCAATTGGATACAAAATTCGCTTGAAGGTATAAGACAGAAGGTGGTGGTGGAAGATTGTTTTTCAGATTGGAGGCCTGTGACCAGAAATATGCTGTAAGGATCATTTGCTGGGTCCACTGCTTTTTGACATTTACATAAATGATTTGGATGTGAATATAGGAAGTGTGGTTATAAGTTTGCAGGTGACACCAAAATTGGTGGTATGTTGGACAGTGAAGGTGGTTATCGAAGATTACGAAGAGATCTTGATCATTTGGGTCAATGGGCTGAAGAATGGCAAATGGAGTTTAATTTAGATAAATGTGAGGTGTTGCATTTTGGTAAGGCAAATCAGGGCAGGACTTATACATTTAATGGTAAGGCCCTGGGGACTGTACCAGACAGACCCAGGGCTGCAAGTGCATTTGAGCCAAATGCTGGCAAATGGGAGTAGGTAAGTTTAGGATATCTGGTCGGCATGGCAGAGTTGGACCGAAGGGTCTGTTTCTGCGCTGTACCTCTCTATGACTCTATAACTAACCACAAGTTGCGTTGAAGACATGATTCCACTAGCACTGATTTATCAAGAAATAATCCAAAGTTGTTAATTAGAGAAAATTTGCATGAGTACCAATAGTTTTGAGTAATGACTCCCATGGGAATATACTCAAGGGGATTCAATAACAACTGCTCTCACAGTTCATATGCTCAGATCATATTACAGGCCACTATTGAAGCCAATGTGCACATTCATAATGGATCCAGGGTTGTTGCCATTAGGGTTATATCTTTCCTTATTAACAGCTTTTTTTGGTTACTGCTGGTATATCTGACACTATTGCTACTCTCTTGCCACCTGGCTTCAGTTCATATGACAAAAAAGGGACATTTTGCTGAAAAATAATACACGTTCTCTGATTCCCAGAAAAGAATTGTACTTCTGAAATGTGGGCAGAGTTTTTGTTTCATAGTACACTTATTTCAGGGAAAAACAACAATCTGGTGTTTAGCGTTCAAAGTAATTAGATGTTGATTGCCCATCACCTTTCCTAGCCTACGTTTTACCAGCAACTTTTAACCCCAAATGCAGTAGGTGTTTCTATACATGCTTTATGGCGATTTCAGAGATATCTGCTTTACAATTGTGGATAAGTAGGACTCAGTGACAAATGAATCAATGCAAACGATGCGCATTTTAAATTCCCAAAAGTCATGTTGGAAGATGTCACCACCATAACAACAACAAGGTTGTTGGAAAAGCTCAGCAGGCCTGGCAGCATCTGTGAAGAAAAAAACTCAGCATTAACATTTTGGGTCTGGTGACCCTTCTTCAGAAGATGTCACCATGGCTGTTCTGTGCCAAGTTGATTTTAAATTTGAACATCAGCCTCCCTCAACCTCATTCTTGGACTTTTAGCTTTTCCCCTGAATTTGCACAGACCTGAAAGTCAGAATGATTCTTGGTATCATCATCTGGACAGATAATGTACAGTATTTAGGGAATCAGCTGGAGAATTATCCACTAGAGAATTCCTAGCCTCTGACTTGTTGTCTTACAGTGGCAACCCTGTTACAGTTATGTCACCCTGATGGGTAACATCGTCAGTGCACCTCCAGTGAAGCGTTGGTGTTCTATCCCATTTGTTATTTATATGCCTCGGTTTGCTGGGGTGGTTGGCATTACTTCTGGTTCTGTTTTTCATTGGCTTGTATGTTGGGTCCAGTTCAACGTGTTTATTGATGGAGTTCCAGATGGAATGCCGGAATGCCAGGCCTCCAGGAATTTCCTGGCATGTCTCTGTTTGGCTTGTGCTAATATGGATGTGTTGTCCCAGTCGAATTCGTGTCCTTCTTTGTCCGTCTGTATTGAGATAATTGAGGATTGGTCATGTCTCTTGGTGGCTAGTTGGTGTTCACGTATCCTTATTGTCAGTTTTCTTCTGGTTTGGCCTATGTAATGTTTCTCACAGTCCTTGCATGGTATTTTATATATTATGTTAGATTTATTGGTTGAGGGTATGGGATCCTTTACATTCGTCAGTAGCTATCGTGGTGTGGTTGTTGGTTTATGGGCTACTGATACCTAGAGGTCTGAGTAGTCTCGTGGTCATCTCTGATGTACGGTTGGGTGACTAGTGTGTCTGGCTATTTTGTGTCTTCTTGTTGTGGTCTGTCATGGAGGAAACTGCGGATTGTGCTTTTTGAGTATCCATTCCCTTTTAAAACTCCACGTAAGTGCTTCAGAGTCGGACACACTAGTCACCCTACCGTATATCAGGGACATATCAGAAATGCCCTTAAACCAACAACTACCCTGCGACAGCTACTGATGAGCGTAAATGATTCCATACCCACAACCAAACTAATGTAAAATACAAAATACCATGCAAGGACTGTGAGAAACATCACAGACCAAACTGGAAGAAAACTGACAATAAGGATACAGGACACCAACTAGCCACCAAGAGACATGACTAATTATCACTGGTCTCAATACAGATGGTCAAAGAAGGATATGAATTTGAGTGGGACAACACATCCATAATGGCACAAGCCAAACAGACATGCAAGGGAATTCCTGGAGGCCTGGCATTCCAACCAGAGGTCCATCAATAAACACATTGAACTAGACCCAATATATGAACCACTGAAAAACAGAACCAGACATAATGCCAGCACCCCAGCAAACCAGGACATATAAATAACAAGAACACCAATGTTTCACCAGAGGTGCACTGACGATGTTACCTTGCAGACGTTTCGTCACTCTGCTATCAAAGACACCAGCTCGGCGAGCACGTATACAACCGCATCCACAACCTGGGCAACAAATCTTCTCAAAAACTTTAAACTGTTTGCATGACTGATTCAAATTACACTTGAGTGATTTTTGTGCAAACTCAGGGGAAAGATAATAGGGACAAGCTGATGATGCATTCCATGGATGAATTGCACAATTTACAAAAGCAGGGTTTTTGTTTTAAAATACTCTTCCTGTGTGCATACTGCTTTGTCATCAACCCAGGCCCAGAAATGTAAGTGCGTTCTCAATGGCCCAATAGTCCTAGCATAAGCCCGCAACTTGGATGTATCTCATAATTTATTGTTTGGGTATGAAATGTAGGAGTGTAGGTTCATATCTGGAAGGCCTAAAGTTGCTTGCCTTGATTTTGGCTTTAACACATTTTGGTTACTGTTGTAGAGCCGAAAGGATTGGATGAGCCAAAGTTCAAAACAAGTTAAAATATTGGTTCCACTTTTTGGTTTGCTAATGAGTTTACTCAGACTGGAAGGACTGTAGCAACTCCTTGAGGAGGCACATCTTAGCCAATTTGAGTTCTGTGAGTTGGTGCATTATGACTGCTAGTGCAAGAAAGAAAAGCAAAGATCATGAATGAACCCTTCCACTTTAGAATTTTATCTGTGCTCATGGCACATTTGCTTCATCTTGCCTTGAATCTCTAAAAACACAGACTTAGCATAAGGGGTGGAGTTGTGGCCTAAGTTGTCTTTGCTCCATTTATTCCTTTGCATTTTGGTAAGTAATATTGTTGTAGTGATCAACTCAAGGGTAGGTCATCTAGTTTCTTCACGCCACCCAACCCTTTGTTTAAGTTTTCTGTTGGTGCCTTGTGTGTTTAAGCCACTTTTCCTGAAGGAGTGCTGTTCTGCAAAGGTCAAGCTGTTCCGCCATCTCTACTGGAAATTTGTTCGTAATCCTGAGTATGGAACTCTTACCTAGACCTGGGCAACTTGCAAATGGGATAACTGCCTTCAGAGCTCTCAAATGATACTATCTTTGATAAATAGGGAATTAACACAACAAATGGTTCTAGAATTACATTAGTGTTTTTTTTTGGGATTTTGGTAAACTGAATTCAAAGTCACTTTGAATTCTCATTCCAATTTACAGTCTAACATTTCTATCAAATACTGACAGTGAGTAATTTTTGGTCTAGCCGGGATAATTTCTGAATCCGATCTGTACCACAGGTAGTTTCACTGGACTGAATTATTGATGGGCACTTTTGAAACTGCAAATGCGTATCCTTTGGAATCGATTGTTTTGTGGTCCATTATCTTGCTGCTGCTTTCAAATTACTGTGGATAACTTATCTCCTGATTTTTCTTTTACCCTGCAGTGTGGAATTGCATTTGGTGTTGTCCTGCTCCTCTTCTGTTCCTGGATGACTCATCAGTCCTGCATGTTTCTAGTGAAGGCAGCGAACACCAGCAAGCGCAGGACGTACCCAGGCCTTGGTAGGATATTTTGTGGGACTGCTAGTAATAGAGACTTGTTTATAAATGTTCAAATTGCCCTTTGCACCATTACATGTTGGCAAGTTCCTATTTGTTACCGGTGCGCTTTCAGCTGCCTATCTTACTGTAAAGAAATATCATAGCTCTGTCCAGTGCTGTCTTGAACTGTTGCCCATTCATCTGAACATCCGGTTTCACTGAAATCAACTCATTCCAAGTTATTAATTGTCCAGATGGTGAGGTGTCGTAATTGATTCCATTTCACAATTTTATTCTGATGTTGACCCATAGAATATTAAGGACGTGGGTAATCTAGCAATTTTTGCTGTATTCTACTTTTTAATAACTTGTTAACGAGTACAAGTATTGAATTGCCTTTCATTTGAATTCAATAGCTGGAAGATATGTTTGTTCTGAATGGGTATTGGATTGTTTGTGATCAAAACTGTTTCACCAGATGTAATCCATTGCACCCTCCTCAATGTTCCCTGCTTGAATCTTGGTTTTCTCTCTCCCCTACTAAATGCTGCAGAAATTTAATATAGTTTTGGATTTACTCTGCCTTTGTCTTTGTCTTTGTATTGCTGGTAAAATGAATGATCAATCCAGATACAATATAAGCTTTCATTTATTGCACATAGGAAAGTGCAGAGAAATAAAACAGAATTTTGGAAAAAGAAGGTTTGATGCTTTCTCTCTTTTTTTGAAGAAGTTCCTTAAAAACAGGGGTGGGGAAACAGGTAGGAAAGATTGTTTTGGAGAGCTGAATACTGCGCTGAATGGACTGGAGAAGTTATTTGAAGAGGAGATGGAGTTAGATTTGACAGCTATTTTGATGGGGGCTGGCAACAGTGCTTATGAAAAGAAAGCCATTTATGATGGTGATCACCAGGATAAGGGAAAGCTGGGATTTAGCAAAGGAATGGGGTGGGAAGTTGAATGAGGAAATTAGGTAAGGACTGAGGGAATGTGGCTATAAGTCATGGAGCATTGTTCTGTTAGGATTAAATTTAGCTGGTAATCCAAGATAGCCACAATCAGGAAAAAAAATCAATCGAAGATGATAAATTCTTGACAGGGTAGAAGTGAGTTTTTGTGGCAGGTTGCAGTTAAGTGAGGATGATAAAACTAGAGAAGAGGAAATGCGGAAAGCTCAGGTGATTGAATAGATAAGCCACTGGGCATGAAGGTTAACGGGAGAACATGTGGATTAATTTTTGAAGAAATCATAGTGGTACTTGGGAAAACGATTGTAAATTGGGACTTTACAGGAGGGGTGAGAGAAAAGGTGTAAACATAACATGTTCTACCTGACCATTTTATCCAGCCTGTGTGTATGTGTGTGTGTAAAATAATCCTCAATTGTGATTTCTATTTTTGTGACCTTTTTCCACCAGCAACCCTATTTCTAAACATCAGTGTATGTTCTTTAAGGATAGGTAATTCCACAGGGGCATGCTATCTCTAATAGATCTTTACCCATAGAGTTTTCTTGATGCAATAATTTCCTTTCTGCTGACCACTTTAATTCTTTCTTGCTGCACTCCACTGAGAACTTCACAATTTAGATTGTCTTGCTGTTGATATCTGTAACATTGACTGAGTACTGCTGCAATATAAACGGCATGCAACAGTAGGTGGCATATCTTATTGAGCTTTTGAGAAGATGTTGCAATCTTCATAATGTGTGGTCAGCAAGCTGAGAATTTCAACTTCCCTGCCATTTTATTTAAAGTAGTAGATTCTGAATTCATGGTTTGACCATTATGTCAATCCATGCCTGATGTAAGCAAGAATGGTTATTGCAGTTGAGTATACAATATGTGCGAGTACTTTACCAACATATGAGGTGTCCTGATATCTCTCAGAAACCATCAGTCTTGTGTTAGTGAACTTGATAGCTGACCTGGCAATAGAATATTTGCTACAATTCTGCTGATTAGTGTCCAAATCATAATTGATATTTCAGTGTTTCAGAATTTATTAGGAGAATGTATTCTGTGAGGAAGTACCATTGCTTATAGATATTTGTAGATAGAATTCTTCACCTTGGCCTTGAAATAATATTTTGAAACAAACACTTGAATATTATTTGCAGCCAGGAGCACCTATTAACAATAATGCATCCCTGTGGAATTACACTAATCATTAAATGGTATTTGGCAATTGTAGAAGCTGATGCTCACTGTTGAATAGAAAATACAACAAAGCTTAATTGTGCACTTTGTGGATTTGTACATATTAAAATTCTTTCAGTTGTGTCTCACTTGCTTTATAACATTTTATCTTGAAACATAATAGAAAGGAAGTTCAAATCTATTCTAAATGCCTGTACTGTTGTGCTGTTCTAATCAGTTGCTTCTAATTTTTAGCTTTTCATGCCTATGGAAAAGCAGGCAAAATGCTGGTTGAGACCAGGTAAGCTTGAATTCCACAATTCAAGGTTGTTTTTTAAACAATGATACTCTCTTTCATTAAGCATACTTGCTCTACAGTTTAAAGCTGTCATAAAACCTAGATAACTAGCCACACTTACATAGCAGGAGTTGTGTTTAACATTGAACCAAAGAGATGATTGTCATACAAGTCCTCACCTTCTGCTAATTGTCTCTTTAAAGAAGATCTTTTACATGAGTTCAACTTGGAAAATCTGTCTTTTACGTTTGTCCATCGTGCTCTAAACTTGAACTGATGTTTGGGAATTATAAGAGAGAAGGGCTGAGTGTCATTGGGTTAATGTTCGGAATTTGGATTGGATGTGGGGCAATTGGCTTGGCTTGTGTTTTGATATTTGTCTTTTACTGTGTGATGAATAAAAGCAGTATAATGTGCTTGGATAGGGATAATGTCAAGCATTTGTTCTTTGTGCTGGTATCCTGCTTGAGGCTCCTGTGTGGGAAATAGACCTGGATGTTTTGATGCGCAAGTCATTGAAACCTCACGAACAACGCAACAAAACTATTTTAAGGGCAAACAGAGTATTGGGGTGTACTGCAAAGCTAATGGATATAAAACAATAAATGTTATTTATCTGGCTACATCTAGAATGTCGTGTATGGTTTGGGTTCCTTCATGAGATGGAAATATAGGCTTTGGAAAAGGCTTACGTAGAAGAACTAGTTTAAGATTCCTCAGCTGCTGTGGTGGGTTGAGGGATTGGTGTTTTTTAACCCTAGAAAAGCATAGATTTTGAGGAGACTCGCTAAAGTATTTAAAGTAATAAAATATTTTGCTTCAGAAAAGTGGGTTGTCTACTTGAGCTAAATAGTTTATGAAGGATCTGAAATTATAAGTTATTTAAGATAGAATTAGATTATATGCTAGGAAGTACTTTGTGCGGAGAGAGTGACCGTTTTTAGAACTGCAGTGATTCTAGATTTTCTGGAAGTGTTCAAAGCGGAGCTGGATGTATTCAACAACAAAAACCTGTGCAAACAGCCTGTAACACAGACCAATGTTTCAAGACTCTCTTCATAAAAGCTCAGACAAAAATGAGCAGAAATTAGGAGTGGTAATTTAAAAATTTGATCAGAAGTATCATGAAGGGCCTTAAGAAAGTAGCTAAGCATGGAGACATTTCGAGAGGGAATTCCACAGCTTAATGCTCCATTAACTGAAGGCAAGTAATGTGATGAAGACAGCAAAGGAATCTCAAAATCCCAGAGATAGAGGGCTGCAGATTTCTTGGATGTGTTTGAAGTTTAGATGTTGGAGCTAGAGATGGGCAAGACCATGTAAGGAGTTAAACAATGATGAGAGCTTTAAGTTGGAAGCTTTGGCAGACCAGAAGTCAATATAGGTTGTAAAGCAGGGGTGATGAATGAGAGAAATTTTTTAAAGGTTGTGATAGAGGCAGCAGAGTTTTGGATAAAGTTACATTTGAGGGTGGAGAATGTAAGATGAGCCAAGGGAGCCTGGAAATGGTTCTTGAGCGGCCAACATAACTGCATTTAGAAGATAATTTAATTGTGGGATGTGCTACCCTGTCACTGTGGTCTCCTGGAATGTCTTTAATTGCCTTCAGAGACTGGAGGGGAATTACTGTGTATACCTTTCCTGTTTTGATCCAAGTTGCTTTTTCTCTTGTTTTAACCTTTCCTGGATATTTGTGTAGGTGGTACTGTGTGCTTTTTAGTGGTACTTTTTTGGTTGTCGAAGAATTTTTTTTATTCATTCATGGGATGAAGGCATCGTGGGTGAGGCTGGCATTTATTGCCTGTTCCTAATTGCCCACAGGGCAGTTAATAGTCAACCATGTTATTGTGGGCCTGGAGCCAGATGTAGGCCGGACCACGTAAAGGTGGCAGTTTCCCTCCCTAAAGGACATTAGTGAAGCTGGGTTTTTCCAACAATTGACAATGGATGCATCATCAGACCCGAATTGCTGACTTTTTTTATTGAATTAAAATTCTACCACCTGCCATGGTGGGATCTGAACCTAAACACCCCACCGAACATTACCTGGGATTCTGGATCAACAGCCTAACGATAATACCATTAGGCCATCGCCTCCCCTGAATTGATATTCAGAAAACATTATTATTTTTTCAGCTGTTTGATCAGAGCTGAAAAACCACAAATCTCTTGGAGGGAAAGGGAAAGGGCAGTAGAAAGGAGGTTGGAGTGGGGTGGGGGTGTGGTGCGGTTTGCAGTGTTGGCCGAATTGTAGTTGAATGCACAATAGTAGCATGGTTGTAGATCAGCATGACATACCATAACAGATCTCCTTACAGGGGGAACTAGAAGCAGTGTGTTAAAATCTGGAGGAAATGTCAGTAGCTTCCTATTAACGCTAGTAGCTTATCTCTTTTATGTAAGTTTTTTTTTATTCAATTGTGGGAAGTGGGTGTCACTGGCCAGCATTTACCACCCTTCAGAAGATGGTGGTAAGCGCTTTTTTTTTTGAACCGCTGCCGTCCACATGCTATCGGTTGGCCCACAATGGCTTTAGGGAGAGGATACCAGGATTTGACTCTTCTGGCTGGAAGAGAAAGGTGGTGATGTCCCAGTGTATCTGCATCTGTTGCCCTTCTAAATGGAAGTGCTCGTGGGTTTGAAAGGTGCTGTCTCAGAATCTTTGGCAAATTTCTGCGGTGCATCTTATAGGTAACAGCAGTGTGTACTACTGAGCCTCAGTGGTAGAGGGAATGGATGTTTGTGGATGTGGTGTCTATCCAGCAAACTGCTTTGTACTGGATGGTGTCAAGCTTCTTGAATTTTGATGAAGCTACCCCCATCTAGAAAAGTAGTAAGTATTCCATCATACTCCTGACTTGTGCCTTGTAGATGATGGACAGGCTTTGGGTAACCAGGAGCTGAGTTACTTGCTGCAGTATTCCTAGCCACTGTGTTTGTGACAAGTCCAGTTGAGTTTCTGGTCAATGGTAACAACAGGATGTTGATAGTGTGGTATTCAGTGGTGGTAACACTATTGAATGTCCAGGTGCAGTGGTTAGGTTGTCTCTTATTGGAGATGGTCATTGCCTGGCATTTTCGTGATGCAGATATTACTTGCCACTTGTCAACCCAAGCCTGGATATTATTCACATCTTGTTGCATTTGAACATGGGCTGCTTCTGTATCTGAGGAGTCTTAATTACTGCTGAACATTGTGCAATCCTTGGCAAATGTCCCTCCCTCTGACCTTATGGAGGGAAGGTCATTGATGAAGCAGCTGAAGATGATTGGGCCTAGGACACTCCCCTGAGGAACTCGTGCAGAGAGATGTCCTGGAGCTGAGATGACTAACCTCCAACAACCACAACCATCACCCTTTGCGCAGGGTATGACTCCAAACAGTGGAGGGTTTGCCCTCAATTCTTGTTTTGCTAGGCTTCCAAGCTGCATGCTTGGTCGAATGCAGCCTTGATGTCAACGGCTGTCATTCTTACCTCTGTAATTCAGCTCTTTCGTCCATGTTTGAGCCAAGGCTGTAATGAGGTCGGGAGCTGAGTGGACCTGACGGAACCGAAACTGTGCATCATTGAGTTGGCTATTGCTGAGCAGATGCTGCTTGATAACACTGTTAAGACCTATTGGTCATCAGTAACATGATGGAAGAGTATACTGATGGGGCAGTAATTGGCTGGGTTGGATTCTACTTCTTGTGTACAGGACGTACCTGGGCAATTTTTCACATTGTCGGGTAGATGCCAGTGTTGTACCTTTACTAGAAGAGCTTGGCTAGGGGAGCGGCAAGTTCTGGAGAACAAGTCTTCAGTACTATTGTTGGAATATTGTCAGGACCTGGTAGCCTTTGCAGTATCCAGATCCTCCAACCATTTCTTGATGTGACATCAAATAAATCAAATAGGCTGAAGACTGGTATCTGTGATGGTGGGGACCACTAGAGGAGGCCGAGATGGATCATCCACTGGACACTTCTGGCTGAAGATTGGTGTGAGTGCTTCAGCCTTATATTTTCTACTGATGTGTGGGCTGATTAATCATAGAATATTACTGGAGCCGCCGCCTCAAATGAGTTGTTTAAATGTCCACCACCATTCATGACTGGATGTGGCAGGACAGTAGAACTTGGATCTGAACTGTTGGATGTGGGATTGCTTAGCTCTATCTAACGCTTGCTGTTTATGCTGATTAACGTGCAAGTAGCCCTGTTTGGTAGCTTCACCAGGTTGATACCTCGTTTTTTGGTATGCATGGGGCTACTCCTGGTATGCCCTCTTGCAATTTCCATTGAACCAGGTTGATCTCCTTGATGGGTAATGGTTGAGTGGGGGATATGCCAGGCTATGAGATTACAGATTGTGCTGGAGCACACTTCTGTTGATGGCCCACAGCGCCTCTGACCTCTTTGACGTCTGTCCCAATTAGCACAGTAATAGTGCCACACAAACACGATGGACGTTGTCTTCAATATGAAGCAAGACTTCACTTCCACAGGATTGTGTGGTGGTCACTCTTATCAATACTGTTATGGATGGATGCATCTGAGTCAACAGATTGGTGAGGATAAGGTCAAGTATGTTTTTCCCTCTTGTTGGTTTCCTCACCATCTACTGCAGAGCCAGTCTAGCTGCTATATCCTTTAGGACTCGATCAGTGGTGCTGCTGCCTTGAGTAAATTTTGTATCCTTGCCATCCTCAATGCTTCCTCCAAATGATGTTCAACGTGGAGGAGTCCTGACTAATCAGCTGAGGGAGGACCGTACATGGTAACCAGCAAAAGGTTTCCTTGCCCATGTTTAACCTGAAGTCATGAAACCTAATGGGGGCCTGGAGTCAATGTTGAGGGCTGTCAATGCAACTCCCTCCCAACTGCATACTTCTGTTCTGCCACCTCTGCTGGGTCTGTCCTGCTGGTGGGACAGGACATATCCAGAGATGGTGATGGTGGTGTCTGAGACATGATCATACTCACAGAATCATACCTTATAGACAGTGTCAGGCTATTGCTT